CACCATTAAAATTCAATCAAATCATTGATTTGCTCATTAGGTATATTATAAAATAAGTTATCAACTTTAAATTTTATATGTTTCATACACATGTCATGTCTATAAATTTAATCATGTATTGCAAAAAACAGGTTATGTCTTGTATTTTAACTCAACTCCGAGGCCAGTAAAGATTATAAGATATCACAATAAACCCTTGTGAAATCATGGGAATTTCTTTCCGGGATATGCAGTACATGAAAATACTTTCACACGCAGCAAGTTGTTATGAAATACTCTATTATCGAAACATTTTATGTATGGATATGTGTACGTTTAAGTACACATATTTAGACCTTCAATAGACTTTCTAAATAAAATCAATATATACCACAATAAATAGAAGATATGTGTTAATACCTTCAGAATGATCATTACATTGCCATAGTGTCTACTGTAGTCTAAATGTGTGTGTTAACAGTGTTTTCAAGTGGAGATGGGGTTGCAAGGTGTTGTGAGTCTAGTCATTATGATATCTTCCTTTTTATTCTTGTCTTTATTTTTTCTCTTCTCTTTTTCTTTTCCTTTTTCCTTTCTCTTACTTTTCCCCTTCTTTCTCTTTCTCTTACTTTTCCCCTTCTTTCTCTTTCCCTCCCTCCCCCTTCTTTCTTTAATCTTATTACCCAGCCGATACGACGGCTTGGTCAGCCCGGTAAAAACCGTCGGAGGGAGTGGGGGAGTGTGTGTGTGCAGCATGTCCCCACCCCCACCTGTTACGCCACTGAAGGAAATATTTTTTTGAATTGTACTTGGAAACATGGAAATATGATTACTAAATTGTAATTTTTATTATTTATTATTATTCTAATTTTGTGACGGTTCCCAGCACCAGTGACCAACATTTAACGAACGCTATGCAAAGCCTTATTTATTTGCGCCTTATAAATCGACCTATTATTATACAATATGGATTTTTTATTTTTTTTTCAAACGAACATTACAAGTTTCCTTTCTGAGTTGACCAACCAGATGTCGATTGACGTCTGTAAAGTTTCCTTGAAACTTACCCTCGAGCATGAAGAAAAGAATGGAATTAACCGCCTTGCATCCATTCTGTATTAAGGCACAGGACTTTATGAAGTGACGCTATAGTTCCCTTTATTTTAACCATTTCTTACCTTAGTCCCAACCATTTTAGGGCTGAGGTGGGTGGACACTCCATCTGTGCAAGTCCCTCCCCTGGGTCCCCTCTATTTCAATTTCCTGGACCTGCCACAGTTGAAGTACCATTTCCGGGCTCCTATATAATTGTTATCCATTGGGAGAAAAGAGAAGGTTTCATCAGGGAATACCCATATCGAGGATATCACTCATGATAAATAATTCACTGTAATTTTGGAAACAATTACAGTACAGTACCTTGATACCTATAAAATAACTAATAAAATGCACCAAATTTCGTCAAACATCTGTAGTTTCCAAGGGGCTTCGCCCCTAGACCCCCAGCTGTCAGCCTAGGTGCTCCCTTCGCTCGCATAATGGACCTTATGAAATTCCCCCTCCCAACTTTTTAAAAAACGTTCCATTGCCGTTGACCACCACAAATACAACAACCAAAACTACAACCACCACCAATACCACCATACCATACAAGGATTAGAATGGCTAATGTGATAAAATACTGAATGACCAAAAATTAGCCGAAAATGTTTCAACCTCACTCCCTACAACTGTTGAACAGGAATGATAATGGCTACAGTATAATGGGGAGGAGGGGAGGGAGGTCAGTGGTAGGTTGGACACACCTGCGGCTGCTTCTAAAATTTTAATTTCAGTATGCGCTATCAGGTTTATGCATTAATGTAGACTGAATTAGTCTTGAGTTTTGATATAAACTGGGGTGGATTATGTTCGCTCTGTGTAGCATAATTAAAGATATACTGTATACTTAAAAGTATGGTGACTCAGTATGCAATAATGTATGTAAAGGTCAGATATTCCAGATTTACAATCATCAAACTGATACTGATCTTTATACATGGTGGACCAGTTATTAGGAGAAAAAATCATCATCATCACCATAAACATAATAGTATTTCCATTCAGTCTATTTGATGATTATGTTGATGACAATGACAATGATGATGATGATGATGACTAAGGCAATATCAACAAACAGTATGCTAGGGGGAGAGGGTATACAAATGTGTACACTTTTACAATTGCATAAAAATGATGATTCAAAATAAGATGCAATATGTCAAATAATGGTAAAATTATAATGTAGCCATGGATATAATATTCATTTTTCAGTAACCAAGTACATTGCTTTAATTGACTTCACAAAAAAAAATGGAGAATGGTTTTGCAAAAGCCAAAATCAACATTTTTTGTACACTTTCAGAGGGGAGGGAGGGGGTACCGAAAAATAGTACTGTTTGTATACTTGTGAAAATGTTGATAATTTGTGAATGACCCCTAATCAATAAAAGTTATTACTGTATTTTCAAATGATCAAAGAATTTCATCTGGTCAAGAAAAGCAAGTATTTTTTTGCATTATTTTGGTCTAAAAGAAATTTACATCTATAGTATTTATTAACATTATTGTTTGTCATCATGATTAATGAAGACTACAATGATACAGTAACAATAACAGCATTCATGATAGAGTATGGTTCGAATTTCCTCAAAATGCTCCATCTACAATACAGTAGCTGCTGTGGGCTTTGGCTTCACTGTTTTATTCTTCCTCTACAGGAACAAGCTTGGAAAATTGTTTTAAGAATAATGTAGACCTATATGCAATTGTATAATCCATTGTTAGGCCCGGATCAGGGAACTTAACAGCAAGTGCTTGCTGTGGTGCCTGGGATTTACAACAGCAGTGGAAGGCCCTTTCTACAGCAACTGCTGTCAGTGCTGTGGGGAAATTCAAACCCTGAAAGAGATAATAATCATCAATTAACTATGAATGATGTGAAGTGCCCAAAATCTGAGAAAAGAGGTGACACTGATGTTACTTACAGCCTAGAATAACACACAGAATTACCATTTATTTGTTAATTTCATCATAATAATGACGATATTACAATGACAATGATGACAATGCTGATGATAGAGACAGTGATAGTGGTGATAATGAAGGATTTGTTTTATCTTTGGTAATCCATCATATGATAGATCATGACGAAATGTCAATACATCTGATGAATATTCATATTTCATACTTCTGTTAAGTTTCAGATGAATAAATTTATAAAGATATAAAAAAAACACTCGAGAACTTTCCAAAAGTTTTGTAAAGCTAAAATATACGCACCAGCTTATATTACCACATAAATACATATAAAGCATAAACAAACAATCCTACTGCTTAACATACTAAACCTCTATTTCATGCGCACACAGACAAACACAATAGAGTTTTGATCTGTATAGAGTTATTGATAATAGTACAGTATGTACATTTAGTTCAATACGCCATATTGATCAATCAGCATGTTGTTAAATTGTAGAAAATGCCATACTGTACTCTTTCTGTGAAGTTCTGTATTCTATAGGACAACATAACAATAGAATTCTATGGTCAATATTAATTTTTCTAACAGAATATATTCTCATGCATAGTGTATCAGATCGTATTTCCTTGTGATAGTGCATCTAAAGAAGCATGGCACCAAATAGATGCACCATATTCATCATTTTATATCATGTTCTTGCTCATACTTTAAATTACCAAATAACAAAAATTTGATCCAATCGATGAACTGTTGCCTAGACAACAAAAATTGAAGTTAAGTATTCACTAATATGATTCTAATTTAATGGTAGGATCAAAATTACCTCAATAATTTATAAACAAAATATTCATATAAGTACCTACACAGACTATATCTATCAACTAACATATAAGGTGATATACATTAGCACAATACAGATAATTGAACATTTCATTTTTTGGAGAGAAAGTTAAAGGAATAGCAGATTTTGAATAGGAAGTGGTAGAACAGGTTGTTGGAATAACAGAATGTTGGACCACCAAGTTCCTTTTTATTGGAATAAACTTCCTAATAATATTAAAGAATTAACAAATTTTCCTCATTTTTAAGAAAGAGTTAAATACGTATTTTTTGTCCAAATATTATTATTTAAATAATTTATATATTAACTTGATTCTGCTATTGCTTCTTTTGTACTTTTTCTTTTGTAATTGGTTAAAGGGCAAGACATAAATGTTTGATGATTTGATTAGATTTCACTAGTGATGGAATAGTTGGGATGGGAATGTTAAGATAGTTTACTTAAGGGTAGGGAATGTTGGGCAGGGATATGAGAATACTGTAGGAATATAGGGATGTTTGGATAGAGGATGATAGCATAGAGGATGTTGGAATAGGGATATCAGGATAGAAAATATTAAGATAGGGATGATGGGGATATGGAATATTAGAATAACGAAATTGACAAAATATTGGGACAAATGTTGAGACAGGGGTAAATATACTGGGAAAGGAAAACTTCATTTTAAGTATTAATATTAAGTTATGTTTTGTAAAAATATATTATTATTATTAATTAGTATTATTCTCTGAAAGCGGCTACACTGTAGAAAAGAGATTCTATGTCATTTCTTTCAGGCGAGTTATCGTGCTTACAATTTGGGTGTCAAACAGGAGATGAGTCATGTTATTACATCATCTCACTCTCTGATTATAATGCTTTACTATAGTTACATTAGATCATGTCTTCTGGAATATATCACAATGTAATAACTTTATCGTTTGATCACAGTTCATTTCTTCACAAACACAAAAATCTAGAAAACTACAACTAAATTAGAGTATAATAATGCAAAAAAATAAAAAGAAACAAATGAAAAGCTCCTAATTATTACACTAAAAAGATCAGTTCATATCTAGTAACTAATATTTTTATAATTATTGATCATTTATTAGAAACAAATAATCAACATATATAATTAGTATTGATTAATGCTAATTAATAACATTAATAACTCACCTGTAATCTTCATAAATGTCCTGCTTAGATAGTGATGTTTCAGCACTTTCTTCGAGGTGGGTACGGATCCAATTCAAGCCTCGCCAATGTGCAGGACGATTTGATGATGCTCGATTTAAACTGAAGAAACAAAAATTTAATTTGATGATTAGGAAACCTTACATAAGGTAATATTAAATCACATAGGAATTCTGTTTGACTACAATTTGAATACACTACTGAGTCATGGATCCAATTTGATATTCACCAATTTTTTTTATCTAACAATCTTTCAGATTTTCACAATTTTTTGGTATATTCTAGTGAGTTTTCCCTTTGGGTTACAAAGGAATTTTTTTTTTTTTTTTTCTGGTCACTGGAGCTCTTTTTCCTGGTCATTGAATAATTTAATCAATTATACTAAATGTATAATCTCTTCTTTTCTGTACCTGACCAATTCAGCATAAGACCACTTTGTGCCACATCAATCGCCTCCTACCAGCTACCTCGCTCCCAGGTAGACGCACTAATGTGAAAGATACATTGCCGAAGGACTAATGCCAGCATCCAACCCATAAACCGAGTTTACTACTCATTTACAAGATCTCTAAATTCGGCGTTACTGGTAACTTATTGAAACTCCTTCGTAGCTATCTTACACATGGACAACCGAGAGTTATTATTGAGGGTGCTACGTCTGAATGGACATCGGTAAAATCTGGTGTTCCTCAAGGCACTATTTTAGGCCCTTTATGTTTTAATCTTTTCATCAATGACTTGCCTCATAATTTTACTTCGCAATGGCTATTATATGCTATATGACCTTAAATTGTTCCAACTGGTTAGTGAGATTGACGATGCCAAATCTATTCAAGACGATTTAGATATATTGTACTTATGGTACAACACTTAGGAAATGTCCCTCAACTTAACAAATGCAAGATTTTAACTATCACACTTAAACAACAGTAAAATTTCTTTCCCTTATAATGTTAACAGCCACATCTTGGAGGTCGTTTATTTTAAACGTGACCTTGGTATTACTATTGATTCTAAGTTTACTTTTAATGAGCATATAAAACAGGTAAAGTAATAGAATGCTAGGCCTAATTAAGCGCAACTGTTGGAATATTAAGAACCAAAAAGCATTAACTAATCTGTATTGTTCACTTGTTAGGCCTTATATCGAATTTAATTCTGTTATTTTTAATTGCATGTCTAATACATGCCTTACTAAAATTAATATTATTCAAAAACGATTTGTTAAATTTGTTTCTCGTACTTGTAATATCCCTTCCAATTACATCATTCTTCCTACTTTAAAGTTCTAGACCTAAATAACCTCTTTTTTTTAATTGCGTTAATGGAGTTTATGGTTCTGAGCTTTTTTCCGTTTTTGGTTTATCTGTTAAAACTTATCGATGTTGTAATTCTATCAGTTCCTTATTCAATGTTAAATTTTCTCGTGTTAATGCTACTAAATTTAGTTTTATTGTTCGATTACCTAAATTTTATAATTCTCTTGTTGATAAAGATAACTCTATTGATATTTATTATGATTCATTTAGAACATTTAAACGTAAAATTAATGTTACAGTACCGCCACGAAATATTGCAATTTTACATGCACGCAGGCTTCGTAGATACATCATAGCCTGATATAAACAACCTAAGCAAGTCTACGCGAAGCAAACCTACAAGCAAAAGCATGTTGTTTATTTGTATGTGTAGAAAGACTGCTGTAGCTTACTGGAATAAACAATGTATTGCTTGATAATTTGTCAATGACAAACACGAGTTTAGACCGTTAATTTAAAGTATGGAGCTGTTTTTCTCCTCTTCCACTCGCTGTCCACGACAGCAACTTGTTTGTACTGCTGTATTATTTTTTTAATTAATTAATTAAATGTCAAAAAATGATGTCCTCAATGACAATACACACATGTGAAAAGATTGTTCATCAAATAATATTTTGTAGTCTTGATTTAGTAAGATAAATAACAAATATAAAGGAGAATTAACGTCGATTGGTTGTAAATGTCACATGGACCGAATGTCACATGGAAAATGTGGTCTAGCATGACTAGCCTTAATTCAGCAAGGTAGTGATTTCTATACTTCCATTTAGTATTGGATCGCTTTGCAGGTTCTGCTTCAAATTATGGTAAACAATAAACAACGTGATTTGTAGAAATCGTAATAATTTGTACATGATTTGTCATCAGTATTATTATTTAAAAGAAGAAAATTCCTACTACCAGAACAAGAATATCTGATCAAAGTTCTCCAAATTGGAAAGTTTACCAGTATAACTACTGTCTGCTCTCCTCCTCTATAGGGGAAAATGTAGGCTGTACGTAGGCCTAAATAACATCGAAATTCGAACATACTGAATGCCCAACTAGGTTTCCTAGCTAGCGAACTAAACACAGTTTTAAAACATGATCGATCTAATAATAAGATAGGATATAACAAAACAAAGTTCTAACATTGTTTATTAGTAAATTGCAACATTGTTCATGTGCTGAAAGCTGGTAAACTATATTTCAATATTGTTTACGCATTGTTTATCAGCCCGACGATCCAGCCTACGATCATTGCAAAGCTAATTAAAATAACAATGACCTTCATAGTAGTTCGTAGCTACGTTCAAAACGTACCTACAAGCAGATTACGAGAGGTTACGTGCAGATACGAAGCGATAATTTGTGTCTGTACTGTATATATTTAGATTTTTTACTGTTTTTTGTGTGTATTGCAACTGGATTGTTTTTTTATTGTTCTCTTTGTTTTATGTTATTCCATTCTGTAAGTGGTGGGCACACCGCTGTTGATTGTGAAATGAAATAAAATAAAATAAAAAAAATAAACTCACAACTATTTGAGTACATGAAGCCTAAAGCCATTCTAGTGTATTACAAACTTCTACAAACAACAAGGATGTGCATTTTCCTATTCAATCTAAAAAAGCAATATTTGATGGTACTAGAAGTTATAATAAACCTATCTGGTAGCATTGTAGTTTTTTTTTAGCAAACTAAAGATACATAAACTACAGTAAATTAAACTAAATGTACTGTGTACAAAGCAACAAAAAACTACAAAAAAATCAACTACAAAAAATCAATTAACTTTGGCATAGCTAATTACTGTCCCATTGTTATGAACTTTGACCTTTTAGTTTATAGTTAGTAAGCTGTTGTATCCTGTTGTACAGTACTCTTATTTATCTCATTTGAACTTAGGAATTACTTTGTGATGGGGAGTCGAAATTTTTATTTTAACTAGATATTAATTAATAACAATTTAAACATTTATTTTCTTATAAACTATGCTACCAACATGGTCGGCTGTGGAAGGTAAGCAACAAAAATGTTGTTGCTTTTTAGCAAACAGTCAAACTTTTGCCCTTTCAAGAGAGTATTTTGTATACTTTTGTTACATTGCTGTTTAAATGAAATTTATTTATAAATTAAAAGTTTGATGTATTCTGAATCAGTAGTGTAGTAGTATAATTTTCATTGTCAGATTATATTTATAATTTTTATAAGAATTAATTACTGTATATAAATAAGCATGCATTTACCAATTAACATTAATGAACAAAACAAGTTGATTCTAATTTTGACCTTGTTTCAAGTATAATGATACTATATAATGATACTGATAGTATAATATTCATTATATTACACTTTTTTTTTTAATAAGAACCAGTAAAATTTTGCCCAGACTCAGTGTTCTTATTTTTTGGCCGATTTCAGGTTTAAAATGTTCTTATTTTGTTCTTAGTTTACACACCTTTTAAACAAAAACAAAAAATTTTATTGTGCGGCAGTATGCACTGTACTGGAATATACTGTAGGTGAAAATGACCCCACAAAAAATGGCCCCCAAATGTCAGACAGATACACCTACTGTACTGTATTATAGAGGGTATTACAGTCACACCTACTGCACATAATGTACAGATATAATATTTTGGTTTTTAAAAATATAAACCTCGTTTGAAATTTTACCTCAGCCTCAATTTGTTCTTATTTTGTTCTTAATTTTTAAGCAATTTCAGCCTCAGTCTTCTTATAAAATGTGTCCTTATAAAAAAAAAGTGTTCTGTAACTTGTCAAAAGCACACAAGTCTGAATTTCATTGTTCTTGTATCACGACGCATATTAATAAGTCAGGTCAGGTATATGACCTTGTTGCATAGATAATAATTTGTATACTTCAAACCTTTAATAATTAATATTTGTTAAATTAAAAGCAAGACTTGAAAATAAAACACCCTATGTTTAATTAAGCATTAAGACACCTAAATCGTTTGTCAATTACTCACTGGTTGCTAAAAGATTATGAGAAAAGAAACTTTTTCTCTGCCATTTCTGTGTTGAATTAACTGGACCATCCACCCCATTCTCTTTGATTTGGCTACTACATTAGATCCATTAATTAATGTTATTATTATGAATCATATATTTTTGAAGGGTAAACAGTGTATTTGATCACTATTAAAGTTGGCAGATTAAACTTATTTGATTGTCATTTACTATCATTCATTTACACACTACAACTGCATTATTACCATTATAATGTCATCAACAATATCCATTACTAGTACAAATTGCCATGATTAATATCATTCATTGACATCATCATTATCATGCCATGTTACTAAACTAAATCTGTTATAGAATAATTGGGGTGTACTTCCTTCAATGTTCAATGTTCTTTCACAATGTTCATCCACTAAGCCAATGTACTACTTGTCTATCTCTCTATTTAAAATCTTCATTTTTGGATAGGAGACGATCATTTTCTTGCTTGCATTTGGTTTATGTTGCATACAACATGTTCCGCAAGCTATCAGCCGCAGCCATATTTTATTTCTCAAAACAATTTTGGAGGGCCGCGAAAAAGCTCAGGAGAAAAAAGTGAAAGATTCATTTTTTGGAAAACTGCTTCATTCATATAGTAAATATGCAGTTTATACAAAATGTTGTCACTAATAGTACAGATAATGTCAAATTATTGTACATCAGAAGAACATGGAGGTAATTTTCATGACCAGAACTTCTTGCCAGGTTATGGTATGTTGGTCCCTGACATGGCTTGGTTAAGGTTCCTAGAATCCTAAGTAGGACGTGAAGTAAAGAGTTTGCAGAACGCTAGCATACAAGACAATCAATATTCCATGGTGTATGGTTTTTATGGTTTTCCATTACCTGGTAAAAATGTCACTTTAGAAAGAACTACATACAATAACAAAAAACATATAAACCTAAAAGAAACGATAAAAAAATGGTAGCAGAAATTTTTATTTTATACTTACTGTTTATCTTTTGGTTTTGTGCATAGAGAAGATCCTGTGGGAAGCTTGAGGTAAAGAAGTAACTTCTCTAGGTCATTAAACTTCTGAGTACTAGCCTGTAATACAATAAATACAAGTCAAGCTTCAGAAAAACATACAAATTTCAAAACATGTGCAATAAATAAAATAGAAAACTATACAACAATTAATCTATAATAAACTCAGTGAGACACTTCTACTTAAATCTGTGTCCAGACTATCAAATTTTCTTTGACAAAAATCTTCTGCATGCACATATATAGTCATGATGTCATCATATGACCATATTTAGGCATCACATGTTGTTTTTGTCAAAAAAAAAATTATAGTCTGGACAGGACTTGAGGCAAATAGAAAAATTTATTAGATTATCATTCACGCCCGCACCAAAAATTCAGGAATTATTGATGCGGGAATAAAAAAAATGTGCCCTTAACAGAAATAACAAAAAGTACAAGACAGACTGTGAGTATCATGTTAGATTTAATACATCAATCTAATCTTTACTTCTTACTATTTTTTTCATCTTTTAGTAATAAAAAATTGTTGTTATTTATGTGCTACTTTATACAAAAAAAAAAAAACAATAAACAAAAACATTCAGAAAAACATTACAAACAACCCATCCCTTTAACTGCATCCAATACAGTATTATAATTACCATGCGGACCATACACAAACATTAAAAACTGCATTTAATAAAGCCACACCACACTGAGTAAGGTAAACCCATTGTATAACAATATACAATGATAAATTGATTGTGCGGGGTCAAAGTTAATAACATAAATCCTATGCATGTTGCTCTTTGTTTGAAATTAATCCTTGTCAATAAAAAAATAATATTAAACCATGTTGATCCACAAGATTGTATTCTTCAAGAATATTCTTTTATATTTTCATAATTTATTAAAAATTAAACTTTTGTTTTCTAATACTGTTTTTATTGAATGAAACATAATGATTGTTATGGTACATGACCAATCATTAATTTTCAATATTATTATATTAGGTATTCAACTATCATAATAAAAATCATTTTCTTCAGTACACTAAAATAAGATATTATATAATAATACAGTTGAACTTGCCTAAGTCAAATCCAAAATGCATTTGAAATACTGTTCGACTTACAGATTAATAGAAAACACAACAATTTGGCATGTAAAATAAGACAGACTTAGAAATTATTCGACTTAGGCACAGTCGACTGGCAAGTTTAACTATAATCATTTTTATGTAACTAAGTACAGAACTATGGTCTTGGAGAATGGTTTTACAAAATCAACATTTTGTATAATGTACACTTTCAAGTGAGGTGAGGGGGTACTGAAAAAGAGTACTGTTTATACACTTGCGGAAATGTTGATAATTTTTCAACACTCTATAGGTATTGGAGAATAATTTACCCAGTTGGACAAGCATGGACCTGCAGTTGTCGGGTGCCACTTGAGGTCGTCAGATTAAATCTTATTAATTTGCCGATCTACAATTCTAACCAGATATGATTGTAGTTCCTTATATTTTGGTGTAAATGCACAATTCTAAACAATAAAATCTCTTTACCTTCCTCCCCTGACCCTGACCAAATGCCCCTTGGTCTGAAATCCCTGTTGGATCTGTTGGACTTGTTGAACCTCCTGTGAAATTCCTGGAGCCACCACTGCATAGATGTGTTTTTGCCAAGATTTATCATGTCCTTCATAACTATGGGGAACCAGGATACTTGGCAGAGGGTAATGTGATCCATAGGTTCAGGATCACAGTAAATGGCTCAACTCCAATTTTCTTTAGTGCACATTACTATACAATTTACAATTTAATCTAAATCCTATGTGGAGGCGGAGTAGGCAGACATGGGCCTGTGGTTTGGTTGATAGAAGGCTAGATGCAGGGCTCCCCACAAAGCCAATCTGTTTATGTTGCATGAATATTGAGCCCTTACAGTAGCTCAGTCTAGGTGACAGTGATTTTGTGTTTTCTTGAGTAACATTCTGACTTGAAGGATGTTTGTTCATTTGTTGTTTATGGGTAGTTTTAAAGCTGGTGGTAAATGTGAGAAGTGATTCTGTACGAACCAAAAGAATAAAAAAAAATACAATTTAAAGAACACTATGACAGTGGTAGATAGAGTTAGAATAATAACTGACAAAACAGAAATAATTTCATGATTGTGAATTAATACTGATTTACATACATTTTAAATAATTTCAAAGAAAATGAAGACTATAAAAGTCCTTGACAGTACATTACCAATGCAAATTCAAGTCTTCTCCACATTGAACAAAACATGTCATAAACGATAAAATAAGTCTCTATAGAATTCTGAATTTCGTTTGTATTTTATTATGCATTCATTCATTTACTTATTCATATGGAGTTGTACACTCTTTAATCACTTATCTCTGGAGAGTTGTGTATTAGTTTTTGCGATGGAAAAATTAAATTGTATTTCACACCTGACAATATTAAAATAGGCAGTGAAGCTGTTGATTGTTCTGTATTCACAGTATATTCTGGACAATCACTTTTTAAATTTCTCTGAAATAAGGATTATGTACTGTACCATTACTTTATAATATTTTAGTGAGATATTGTTTGTACAGCAAGTGCCATGAATGTTGTTCTGTTGGTGAATGACAGCGCTACAATATAATTATTGTGTAATTTGTGTGTTGTGTATAATATGCTGAAGGTTCTGAAAAAACAGTGGAAAAACAAGAATTCTTTGCCAAATACCTATCGAGTACCTATGTTCCAAGAGGGCAAGACCTATGGTTTAAAGG